ATTTTTCCATGTGTACAGATTGCAGGATCACATTGGTTATACATCCATGTGTATACATACAGCAATCCTAGTGTCAGTTGTATTCTGCTGCCCTCCCTATCCCCCCCCCTTCCCTACCTTCCCCTCCCATCACCTCTCTCTACCCATTCTGCTGTGACACTTATCTCTCTTTTTTTTTTCTTCCTTTCCCCCTCACACTATCCTATATGTATTTTGTGAACCCATGAGGGTCTCCTTTCATCTTCTGTGCAATTCCCCTTTTTCCTCTCATTCCCTCTCACCTCTTTTCCTTGTTTCGTGGTAATATTCTTTTCATGCTCTTCCTTCCTACTCTGTTTTGAGTCACCTCCTTTATATCAGAGAAGACATTAGGCATTTGTTTCTTAGGGATTGGCTAAATGACATCTTCTATTTGTGAAAGTGAACAAATAGATATTAAACAGATGTATTAAAGTTTTAGAGGATGAATATGCTTATTAGGAGCTAAGCATATATTGTATTTAAGATATTTTTTCCCTGTAGTATCTTTAACTACTCTTGTCTTAATTAATTGTCTATCCTTGTTAAACAGTCTGATTAAGAATGTTGACAGGTATTTTGAACTAGAAATATTATTTAGCTGACTAGATATATTGCCACCTGCTTAATACTTCCATTGAGACAAAGGAAGTTCTGAGGAATTTGCTTTGTGAGGTGCAATGGAGAATCATTGAACCAAATGTCAACTCATATGTATTTTATGCCCAGCTTCTTTATAACTGTGAGACTCAAGCAGGGCATTTTGCCTCTCCAGTGACTTCATTTCTGCATAAGGAGAAATTATTATTATTATTGTTTTAGAAGCTAGTGTTTAAATAGAATGTGTAAACACTTGGCAAAGCAGTAAGCCATATGTAAATGTAAAATGGTATTATCAAATATTCTAAGTTTCTGAACCAAATAGCATATTTTAAATATTTGAAGTAAATAGCATATTAATATAGCCATACCTAGTTGAGAAAATTTGGATACAGGTTTAATCAAAATGTAAATGTGAGTACTGTAATCTCTTAATAGTTTCACTTTCTTAGAATGTATTGTGATAAACTAAGTGAGGAATAGTAAATAAAGGATGAGAAGGATAAGTCATGGAGAACATTAAATTAGTTTATATTTTTAGTTTGAGACAGCATCTTTGGGATTATATTTGTATTTATCTCTTTACTTCAGATCAGTTATGAGAATTTAGATAATTTTAAGTGTTTTTATGTTGCTTTATTCAAATAAATGTGATGTTTACTGTTTAATTTTAGTTACTCTTTCTGCTGAATTGTAAACAGGTATTGCAGGAATAACTGAAGCAGTTAAGGAGATTACATTGGAAAACAAGGTACTGGTTTGTTAATATTTCTAAAATCAGTGACCTAGTTATTTGCATATGTCTATATCTATATATCTATGTTGAAATCATTCATCTTTCTTATCCACACTTACCATTATCAAACTCATTTAAATTCCAACTATTTCC